ACAAGCAAATTCCATTTTACAATTAGACTCGACACTGGCAATGGTCAGGACGGAGCAGTCGGGAGACAACACAAAGAATAAATTTAAGCAAAATAAACAAATACCACCCACAATTTGTGACCCCATCCTTGACCTCATTTACGTAATTAGGCTGCGGTAAGTGGAAGAGGAGCGGGTTCCCACGCAGCAGCTGTGCGTGGCGACTTAAGAGCCACACCACCTGGATGCGATGCCCCCCCCCCCTATCCCCCCAGGGGGAGAGGGGGTGGCTGCAGGTAATTGCTACCAGCAGAGCACCTTCTCAAACTTTACCTTGGCACACCCTGCCGCAGTGACGGTGCGATATGCACCAGCATGCACCTGAGACTGGCAGGTAACGTTGCGGGAGCGGCAGCGGGGGGGGGGGGGGTAATGAGCAACATTTATATTCAGATGTGTATTCCAGCCTTACTAGGTGCTCGCTAACAGCACTTGTCCAAACGGTCTGTATGGCTTTGTCTTGTTATTACTCCTATAATGAGCCAAGAATGTCTGTGTGTAACGCGCGTGACGTCACTCCATATGCCGAACCCCCTCATTAATATTCATGAGCGTGTGACGTCACTCCACATGCCCCCCACCTCTCCCCCCGTCATTAATATTCATAAGCAAGTGGATTTTTACACTCGCGCAGACGAAGGTCGAGCGGAAAGAGATTTTTTCTCACAAATTTGCTTTAAGTTTGACGTTCCTTTATTGAAAGTGAATCTAATAATAAATAATTCTACGCAGCAACAAAGTGGATTTGGTGTCTTTATTTCTTCAGCACTTGGGACAAAAGGTAGGTCTAATCTATGCTGCTACATTATGGTAAAATAGAAATTTCTCGGTGATTTTCCAGATATTGCATCGAATTCCAATTTATTTCAACCCCAGCGACCGAAAGCAGAAGAGAATGAAGTATCAGAGCAGTGAGTTTGAACAAATTGAAGGTCAGTTATATACAGTGCTACAGTGACATGAAGTGAGATGTTTTACGACGTAGTTTGGTGCAAGATTCACTGCCATTAAATTTACACAAGTTACAATCATACTCTGCTCAGTATTTTCGTTACTACTACAGCTTCCGTCCTAGGACGGGCAAAGAAGCTAGCGTATTAGATGCGTACGTGGGGAGCAATTGTGCACTGGTTCGCTTGCCACGCTCCGCAGTACTTGTCGGCAGCAGGGGCAAGCAGTGCCTCTCTCGAGTGATCTCAGCCTTAAATGATCATGTGCCTGATGTGGTGTGTGAATATCAATTGCAGGCATGGTACTTGCCACGTTATCCACCATCATGTACATGTTGGTCCAGTTGTCGTGTGACGCCCATTTCTCATCGTCGAAAACTTAATATCTTTGAAGTAAGGTTTATTTAAAAAAATACATTAATATACAAAGGAAAAATATGTCAGGGGTCAATTAATTTTGGGGTAAACAAGACGTCTGGACCACCCTGTACTATACTGGTCTTAAGAGGTGCTCGCTAACAGTCCTTGCCCCAACAGTCTACAAGGCTCAACAGGATACTTACGTCTTTGGTGTGGGGTGCGTTTTCTGTATATATAGACACAAAATAAAAATAGTCATAATGTTTACTTCATTATTTATTTCGTTTTATATTACTGGCATAAAATTAGGTCTCACATTTGACCATTACGTGTATATATATAGAAAATATATTTTTTACAATAAATCGATATATTTTTTTCTCATTGGGATTGCAAGAGTAAAAATACAAATGCAGTAAAGGTTGATAATTAAAACTATCTTCTGGGTTCTTTCGGTAAAGTCACGTAGAATGGAGATAAAAAATTAATAAAAATGATAACAATAAAATTATCACGACGTTTCGGCCACAACACAAGTAGCCTTCCTCAGGTGAAGAAACAGGACTGTCCCGAAGCGCTGTCTCCCTGCAGTCACGAAAGCTTTAAATCGAAAATTAAAACGTAATAGAATGTATCAATTTAAAATAATAATTTGGCCAAAGTTCAGAAATAAATACAAAACCTTATTTTATTTTACACGCTCTTAAACCAAGTGCTTGCGGGTCAAAAAACACACAAAGGGAAAATTTATAACTAAAACTGTAACAATTAAAACACCTCACTATACCGTATTTACTTCTGATGATGTCTTATCTTCGGCTATTGGCCCATAAATGGCTCGTGATTTTTCACTAGTGCACACGCTTTAAAAGATCATAAGGAGTCTTTTTTGGTATGTTATCTTGGAGAGATCCCTCATTGGCAAAAAAAAATGCTGGTCCCATTTATTTGTTTGTGGGGATTCGCCAACCGACCAAAGCCACTTTCGACTGGTCACAAAATTATCAACGCTTCGTCACTGCAAGACACGTCCTCAGGACAATTAAGACAGAGGGTGAACCATGTCTGAAACACGGGCAACACGAAAAAATATCGATGCAAAAAAACTTGCAAGATAGAGACAGTGGAGACATTTGTCTGTCTGTCAGTGATGTGGCTCAAAATTATCCACCCGGCCACGCTTCAACCCCTGCAGAAAGGCAGACCGTGCAATTTCAACGTGTGCCCCCCCCTCTTTGGCCCATACTCTACGTACTGAAAGGTGGCAGGTGGCACTTGCGTCGACGAGTACATCTGAAAAATGTTCCCATAGATGAAGATGCCTTAAAATATTTTTCTAAGCATGCATTAGTCCTTTGGCTTTTAATAATCACCTATTATATAAGCTCTTAAGGCTACATTTCATCTGCAAGTGGGACATTCAGTCGGTGACAGCTTTCTCTTCCAGACGTCTCAAAAAAACGCGCTATAATTTGATTGCGCCCAAGATGAATGGGAATTTGTCACCAGTGCATTTGTGGCACTCATGGGGTTTATTGTCAATGCAATTTTCATTGTGTGCCTTATGCAAAATAAATGTCTGGATGGAAAAATCCTTTGCCATCCAATTACTCTGGGACTTCCCATGGCTCTTTGATGTGCTCCAAATTGTATTCCTCCAGAAAAGTGCTGGAGGTGCTCTACTTTCAAATCAAAACATGTTGCAAACATTAACAATGTCTAGCTGAGCAGCTTTTTTTTAAATCAATGCAAGCTTTTGTTGAAAAGCTACTTGGTTCTGTAAGAAAATAACTAAATCTCTACTGTAGTCAAATAGGAACTAACCCTTCTTGGTTCTTTTGGTAAAGTCACATAGAATGGAAATAAAATAATAAAAATAAAACATAATAAAATAAAATTCTCACGACGTTTCGGCCACACTGTTTACATTCCTTATATAAACCTCAACCAACACGGAATTCCAGGGTTTTTCACGGAGCCCATTTTGACACTCCAGCCAGGGCAAACATTTATAAAGCCTGTTGCATATCACTGCCGAGTCTAAAGGGAACAATTTATACATCAACTGCGACTCACCACGATACAGAATCTCGTGTCACTGCCAAGCGAGTAACACACAATTTACGGCCAGAGCGTATACAATGGAAGAGGCAGCACAGATTTCAATGCCACGCTCCGTGACCAGACAGCAACAGTGCTCTCCTCCAGACAGGAGGGCTGTCGTGCACAAATCTCTGGCGTTCTCAGCCTCATATGAACCTGGCCAAGTTACTGTGCTCGCCCATGACCTTGAGAGAAGCTCAATGAGTCTGTCCGCTGGGAGCTTGCAGCTGTGTTTTGTAAAGATCCCACTTTCCAACAGGTTACATGCCGAGCGCTAAACGTCTTCCCTTCCTCCCATCACCAACCCCTGCTGTCCCCCTACAGCTTCCTTTTATTTCTCTCAATTATCATCATCAGCCATGATTAATCCACCGCTGGATAAAGGCCTCTGAAAGCCACCTCCATCTTTCACAGTCCTGAGATGTAAGGATCCTTCTTGGTACCTGCACGAGCTGATCCCATAACTCCACCTCTACGTCGTACGGCCACGAGGGCACGTTATCTGCCTCGGCCGCATTGTTCTCGCCACACCAGCCATCGTCCCTTGTAGCAAAGTGTCCTGCCCAAGTCGACTTACTTTTCTTTGCAGTCAAAATTATGTCTTTATCCAGCGTGTGTTCTCTAAAATGATGCAATTGGGAGTATACACGACAACCGTCGCACCATACGAGCAGACTAATGCCCCAGGTCACTCTTGCAAATGAGACTATCCTGGTCTCTTGGAGTTTTCAACTGGTGAAACAAAAGCATGCACCGACCAATGCTTAATTACAGATTTTGTTACAAAAGCAGCAACCATATCAATGTGCCTGAATTAGTTTTATTTATAATAAGGACGTATTACTTGCAATGATATGCATGTGTGCAAGTTTGAACTTTTTTCTCACCGTATGTAGCCAACCGTGCTTATCGGAGGTGTGGGTGAAGGACAACAAACTCAACACAAAAAGCAGTCCTAAAAGAAATGCGTTGTCAATCTTGATTTAAAAGTGCATAGCGCCAGTGGCTACCTAATATCGGAAGGAAGAGTGTTCCAGACAGCTGCAGCAGCGCATCTGAAAGTGCGCGATGCAGTGACCATCTTTGTTCGATGGTTAAGCCAAAAGCCGCTGCGAGGATGACCGGAGTTTGCGTGACGGTTTATGGTATTTGACGAGATCAGGGAAGTATTGTGGTTCATTTGTGGCAAGCACTTTGTGTGTAATCAGCACAACCTTATAATGTAATGATACAACAATAGATATATAAGTAACATGGGCATTTCTCTCAAATCAGCAACAGTCATCGCTATGCCGATGAACGGGTTGTAGCTTTTAACCACATCACTTGTTCATTATACATGTCATGTGCAACCTAGAACAACGAGACTAAACCCCGCATAACTTTGTAGGAACAAACGACTGATCTGTGCCAATAAAATCAGTAAAACAATCGTAAATGTCAGCTTTGTAAATGCAATTATCCATTTATAAACAAGGTACGGAAAGAGTGCAATTCACTTGTGATTCTGCAATTACTGAGTGCATAAGTTGTGTTTTTTATACTTACACAAGATACCAGGAATGTTTCTGAACTTGTTCCAGCTGAAAAACACAAAGAGAAACATTTCCATCACAATTCCAGGCACCAAATGCTGGATGCATGTAACACATCATCTTCACCTTCTTGTGCCATTTGCTGATTGTGGCAAAAACCATTAATACATTACATTTCCCGTTTGAGGTTACGATATAATGCTAAAGCCACGAGTGTCTGTGTATTATTTTCGCATTCTCTTGCCATGTGTGTTTACTATCCTTGCAATACGAATATATAGAAATGTTTATAAAGTAACAATTTAAAGCTCTTCTTCTTTGGTTCTTTCGGTAAAGTCACGTAGAATGAGAATAAAATAATAAATTGATAAAATAAAATAACACAATAATATTCTCACGACGTTTCGGCCACAACACAAGCGGCCTTCATCAGGTGCTTTGTTCCTCTCACACAGCTTAAAGGCCGTGATCTGAACGTGGCTCTTTCACTCCAGCGCTGTCCTACCAGACAGTCTCGTCCCTTCACCTGATGAAGGCTGCTTGTGTTGTGGCCGAAACGTCGTGAGAATATTATTGTGTTATTTTATTTTATCAATTTATTATTTTATTCTCATTCTACGTGACTTTACCGAAAGAACCAAAGAAGATGAATCATTGCAGTCACGAAAGCTTTAAATCGAAATTTAAAGCTCGTTTTCAATTCACTGTTTAAGAAATGTTTCATGCGAAAAGTTCACCATCGTCTTTTTTTACCATTCTTCCACCACCCTGATCAGTATGGTTGGGCGAAGAGGAGCGATTTGATTGGTTCGTTAAACCACTGAGGTTCACTGACGTTAACTGTGGCTGGAAATCAAACCCGAAGGTGGTCAGGTTAACAATGCAGTGTGCTAACTGCTAAGCAATGCGCCACCGCTCCCCCCCCGCATCCGTACAGTATGTACACTGCATGCTCTATTTTTGCTGCTCCTGCAATGTAACACGCTACGAATAGGATTACTTTCTTCCTTGCCGAGACAAAATAAAGGCATCACAATGTTTTGGCGAGTTAGCCTTATCCAAGAAGATACATCTCTGTTTGTTATTTTTTTTATTAAAAAGGCAAGTATAACGGTTATTGGATTTTTAAAACGGTGACTATTTTTCCTAGGACGGCGAGGCAACTTTCTTGGCTACATTTCCGTAGTTATTATCATCACGCACTGGTGGTTTTCTTTTTTAAATCAAAACGCGGCCACATTCAGCACTGCCATAAGCAAAGGGCCCGTCCATAAATGACGTCACGCGATTTGACGATTTTTGACCCCCCCCCCCTTTTCGTCACACGGCGTCACAAAAATTCAGACCCCCCCTCAAATATGACGTCACAAAGCTCTGCCCCCCCCCCCAAATAAAACATGCTTCAAATCGCTTTAAACTATTGTCATTGTAGTGCGTATTTTATGTGGCGCTGCACTCTGATGTTGTAGGGGAAAACATTTATTCAAAATAATATTTAATTAAGTAGAACGTGTTGTCTATATTTATTTAAAGTTGCGCATTTTTATGTGACGTCACATTTCTCAACCCCCCCCCTCCCCTCGTCACACATCGTCACAAATGTCTGACCCCCTCCCTCCCCCCCAAGGTGCGTGACGTCATTTATGGACGGCCCCAAAGAGCGGGAATTACTGCCAACTAAAGCCCTCTCTACATTTATGTACCATTAGTTTGTCACAAGGTCGAGGAACACAGATAAGTGTGGCCAATCTTGTTGCCGTTTTATGAAGAGTTGACACCGGCAACCACCAAAGCTACTTCTTTTCGATGAACAAACAAACAGCCAACGAAAGGCTAAAATACATTCGAAAAATCTTGCCTGCACACGCGACGGAAACCTGATATTTAAAACACACAGACGCGGAATAAGGTGTGCTTTTACGAGTTCTTACCTCTGACATTTAATGGAATTTGTCAACATAACAACAATAATAATAATAACGTGGGTCAACACCCGGGCCAGGAAGCTATCTTGGGAGCATGACTCGTCAAGTGTAGGCCCTCTACTTTTCAGCTTGGTTGGTTTAGATGGAGCAGTTAATTGGACTTTTGTTGTTAATGTTTGACCTGCACTGTTTGTACAAAGGTATGTTGAACTTCTTTCGCACCGTACATAGCCAACCATGCTAATCGTAGGTGCGTACGTGGGGGGGGGGGGGATCAACACAAAAAGCACTTTCTAAAGAAATTACCTTTTAATCTACATTATTTAAAAGCGCATTGCTGCAGTGGCTTCCTAATTCCAGCAAGAGCGTTCCAGACGGCCGGACGCACGCACCGAACCGAGCGGTAGTGGGCGGACGGAAAGGGGGGACGCGCGGTGGGGGGGGGGGGGGGTGCGCGCGAGGACCTCACCGTCAGTCGCTTGTTGGTGTCCACCTCGATCATCCCCCGAAGGAGGTTCTGGCAGTCGGGGGGGATGAAGTGCGGCATGTGGAACACGCCACGCTTCACCTTCTCCAGCAGCTGCCGCAGGTTGTCGTCATCGAAGGGAAGCGCGCCCTGCGAGAGGCCCCGACCGAGAACCCCGCGCGGTTAACGGCGCGAGCACGGCTCGGCTTTGGCAAGCTGTCCTGGTTGGTGATGTTTGTTTGTTGTTGTTGTTATTGTCCTGGGTCGTCTTCACGTCGAGGTCGCTATCCCGCAAAACCTCTTAGAAGTCTTCCGGGGACGTTAAAAATGCCCAGTTTCGTTTTTGTCAGTTGCCTTCTAATGCACCACTAAAAAGCAATGCATTTACGCGCATAGTTCCTCCACGTGAGATATTATTCGTCCCGTGAGATATAGTGCCCCTCGTTTTTTTGTACAACAGAGAGGCACGCGGGCCACGATTGGTTGTGAAGCAGGCTTGGTATGCGCTCTGGTCAAAGGTGCAGCCGTGTGATTGCTTACTCACAGGACACAAGGCCTCCGCTACAGGGAGCTCTAGAGGGTATTTGGCCTATTGGTTTACGCTGGCCAATCTTGGAAGAAGTGAGAAAAGTTTGATGAAAATCTATGCAATAAAAAATGATTACCCAGTGTCAATCATACACCCAGGCAATAATTTCACTCTGGTCCTGGTGCAAGGAATGAAATGGGGGCCCCCTGTCCAATTTATCCCGTCTTCATAGAAGGATCTCCAATGCGAGGGTGCTCTAAACGGCCCCTCTCTCTAGGGGATCATTTTGACCAACTCTCCCACACTGACTAGATGTCTTGGAAGAGGTGGGAGCATAAAACCACTTTACCCCACCACATGCTAACCTGATAAATTGACAAAATGTGGTCTATTCATTTTGCACTGCTGGATGGACAGAGGCCATGGGATTTAAGAAAAGTTCCCATGCACATCACAGAGACACCATATATCCGTCGAACTCCAGAGGCCAACACGCATGCATTATTTTGCACACAGCACACATGGACACACATGTAAATGGGGCAGAGAAGCGAGGGAAACTTCACAAGTTGCAACGTTTTGATATAAAGCTTTCGTGACTACAGGGATTCATATTCTTGGTTCTTTCGGTAAAGTCACGTAGAAGGGAAACAATACAATAATAAAAATATAAAACAATAAAATTCTCACGACGTTTCGACTGCAACACAAGCAATCATCATTAGGTGTGAAAACCACAGCAAGAAAATGTCTTGTTTTTATTGTTTCCCTTCTACGTGACTTTACCGAAAGAACCAAGAATAAGTTGCAACGTGTGCCTTGATAGAGGTAGATCAAATAAGCCGCACACACGGAAACACATGTAATTCCCCAGGCAGCTAATCTTGTCAAAGTTTTAATTATTCAGGAGCCCTCTGATGTCGCTGCAGAGCGACGGGTGCACCGACGCAGCGCTCGGCGCGTGATTAATCCTCACGAAGCGAGGCAGCGGCCCCTCGGTTCCTCGAATCACAGAGATGCGCCGATGCCGTTGCAGAGGTGGGCGGATGGCCGCAGGGCCACGGGCGATGGGGCATCCCGAGGAGACCAACACTCAGGGCCCTCCACTCAATCCACACACCCCCCACCCGCACCAACAACACCCACCGCCACCTCTGCAGGGCTCTCAGCCACTAATCCGCAACATCTCGTGTCACAGTCGCTATGTTTAGCCACATGCGGCTCTGTAATTTTTATTTATTCCCCGGAGGGGGGAATGATCTTTCCGCTTTATTTACTCACTCCTTCTCCCCTGGCGTTGCTATTTGCTACTTCAAACGTATCTCTCCTGCATTTGACATTCATTTGTTCTTTTTAATTTCCGCCCAATTATCCCGCATCCCTGTATTTATTATACAACGGCCGGCGTAGATATACCAGCGGCGGGAGGGGTCCGTCGTCCATGCGTCGGTATTTACGCGCTAATCGCCTCACCCACCCCTGGGCAGCTTCCCTTTGCATCTTTGAGAAATGAAAGCGGGAGGGTCAAAAAATAGCACAGGGTCCAATTGCTTTGAGCGAGGATCGCTGCACGACAGCTGCCACAGCTACTAAAGCTTCCGGGAAGGTTGGATCCATTGCCGCTCGCGTGGCGCCATAAAAACATCCGCTCCCTTTCAAGTCTCGTGTTTGTGGCAGGATCAAAAGCGCCCAGGGAGAACAGGATACAATGGTGCTCAGCCAAGTGAGGAGGAGGGGTGGGGGCGAAGGCAATACTGGAGAAAGAAAAAAACATAAGCTCGCACAGACAACCTAACGTCCACTTTGCAGCAAAGCAAGTTGGATGCGGCGCAGCAGCTCCGTGGGACTCTGTGTAAACGGATTTTGGCGTCGGCCAGCTGCCACGCAGGGGAGCTTACCACTAGAAGCGCGAAGAGGATGACTCCGCAGCTCCAAACGTCAGCCTTCCTCCCATCGTATTTCTCTCCCTGGCAGAAGAGCGGAGATGCAGTGAGCGAGCGGGAGGGATGGGCCCAAACTTCGGGCTGCGCTACTTACGGAATACAAAAGTACTGTCTACATTGCTAAACAAAGAGCTCTGCGCTGTTTTAATTAATATTTCTTCAAAGTGTAATCATAGGCATGCGTTCGGTTTCGCGGTGCCGGTGTGATAAGTTAATAAAGATAAGTCTTCCAATGCGAGCAGGAAAGTTTCGGCAGCTTGTGGTGCGGTGTTTTAATTCCCGGCAGCTTTGCTCCATGCTTTCTGTGTGCTCCGTTACATTGTAAGTATGTAACTAGTGTGTCATCACATGGTCAAGTGGACTCACTCGTATGACTTCGGGGCAGGCGTAGTGCGGGGAGCTGTGGAACGAGACACATTAGTCACGTGACAAAAATCCTTGAGGCCTTCCGACATCTGTTCAATGGAAGGTCGCTCCTTCTCCGCTGGCGTTCTCTTGCTTTGAGATTCTCTTTCCCCAGGCGTCTGTGCTGCCAACTCCCTGCCGCCGTTCAAGTGCAAGCCCAAGGCTTTGCTCTTCTCCACCCCCCCCCCCTCCCCCAATCTATGAAGTGATTTCAATCGCACCACACTTAAAAAAACACGTTAAAACTACCTTTTGGACACGTCTCACTACTTTGTGCGGCATCTTGAGCGACAGTTGCATATTGATGCTACGTGAATCGACATTGTGTGATGTCATGATTCGACCACAATGTGCTCACAATTCATTTGCATGCCACGTTTTCAGGTGGCTGTAATGTCAATTTCCGTGTCAGATAGACTTAGTGCTAATGGTCCTTTTTGAATTGCCATCGTGTACCTCTAATGATATTTCAGAATAAAAATTAGACCCTGCCATTGTCATTCTATTTGAGACAATGGGCAGTCATAAAAAAGCACTCCATTAGATGCAAACTACACAGTTGTCACTCGGGGTAGATAGGGAACTCATGGAGAATCAATACAATTGACTATACATACTCGCACTCGCGATGATTACATGCATTTTTCTCTTCAGTGTCAAGACACAGTTGGGCTTACATATATACTTAAAGCAAAACATCGGCTTCTTGGCCAAAAAAAATGAAGAGCCCTACACAATTTGCATATTCAGCAGTTAAGCAATAAATACACACCATGACAGTGACAGAGGAATACACGAGTGATCCCAATGACCTTTGATACAAAATTTATCGACGTGTAATTCTAATAAGGCACACCAATGCATACATACAGAAATGTTGCGGGTTATCCATCACCCCCTTCCGTACATCTGCATCTGGGCACACACAGGTGCTTGCATGCATATCCATGAACTCACGAACTCCAACACCACACACGCACACACACACGCGTGCTTCGACACACTCGCAAAACATTCCCCCCCCCCACCATAGCCTATGTAGACTGAGCTTACAATTGCTGTTAGCGAACATGTATTAAAGTTGGCATGATACACGAGCGGTGGTGTGGTCAAACACCAGGTACCCATTTAAGGCAAAGTCAATTTAGGGGAGGTCTAGGAAAAGTTCTGATGACACTTGAAACTCAGGTTAGCCGTGGCTGGGAATCAAGCTCGCGTTGGCTGGGTTTGTTGTAGCACAGTGTGCTAACCACTGTGCCACCGCTCACCACACACGTGCATACATAGACGAAGATCCCCGGCGTAGCCTCAACAGACTGTTGGGGCAAGTGCTCTTAGTGAGCACCTATGAAGGCCGGCACAGTACACAAGGGGGTGGGTGGCGAGCACAACTCCCTGCCGCCTTTGTCTCCCCAGTAGCAATGTTTACACACCAGGTACTCATTTGAGGCTGAGTCGACCTAGGGGAGGCCCAGGACCGGTACAGATAATCATCATTGGTGTCGGTTTTGGCCGTGAGCGGAAATCAAACTCGGGCTTCCGGGTTCGTAGCGCAGTGCGCTATCCGCAACACTACCACTCCCCCCCTACACGTCGAAACACACACACTCACTCAAGCCTGCACACACTTACCCACAACTGGTCTCCAGAAGGTTGTCCCCAACCTGTAGAGACGCCATGCCAAAATCCGCGATCCGAATGTTGTTCTTCTCATCCAGGAGGAGATTTTCTGGCTTCAAATCACGGTGGCTTCGGAAGGAGCCAATTACGGTGCAGAGTAATTTGGAGGGCGAGTTGGGAGAACCAGACGGAGAGAGACATGCAGAGAAATAGAAACAGACACGTTGGGGGGGGGGGAGGGGAGACAGACAGACAAGTAGTTTAGGTGAAGATGAAATAGGACAGCGTTGGTAAATGGTGGAGACAAGGTTCAGGAATTGAGATTGCAATTGGTGCCAGCTGAGCAGCATGCGCACGGCTTATTGTGCTTTGACGGCTTCAAGGATTTCGTCTCCCACGCCGCAGCAGATCTAGTCAGTCATATAACACCCGGTGTGAGTCACCCACGCAATGGGAGGACGCGAACACAACAACCTTTGCCGAGCTCCACCACACATTGCCCAAGTCGTTTCAAAAAAGGGAAAATACATTTCTGATAGGCAATTGTGGAGTTCATCGTGGAATATAAATGCACATCGCGTGTGTTTGCGCACATCTTTTTTCTCTCTCTCTCTCTCTTATTTTTAATATGGACGCAACAACAAAGAACTTGATCAAAAAAATCTAGCAGCTTTATTTTTTGCTGTGTTATTTTGAAAGGAACTTTTAAGATCGTCACGACGAATGTTAACTCCCCGCTGGGATAAACACAGCAAGGGTGCACTGCCTCTGATATACAATGAAAATAAAACGAGCTTTTCCATTTGTTTTTTTTTTTTGCCGTGGAAGCAAAATAAAGGGGGCCAGAATAATAAAAATCCATTGCGAAACAAAGCTTCGTACCAAAATAGGAGTGCAGAGGTGTTAAAAAAAACAACGCGGACAACCCGCATTTGCTCGAGGTGTCGTCTGCCTTTTTGTTTTAATTTGCAGTCAAAAGCTTCCCGAATCACAGCAACATCTCCCTTACACTGTCCCAGCACAGTCCCGATTTGCTACATTTACCGATCATCCATCAGGTCCATGTCGTATGCATACGCCAGGGCAATACAGCGAGAGGGGGAGGCCTAGAAAGAGGCGATTCCAAGTGGTGAGCCAGTTCACTATATGAAGGGACTGTGGAGTGGAGATGGAGATTTTCTGGGACAGGAATGGGAGTAGAGCATGATCAGGAAAAATAAAACTCAAGGGAAATTAAACTATTTTTTTTTATTTTACCAGGTAAGGCCCACTGAGCAAAATAGCTTGTTTTCAGAAGCGACAGTCACAAATGGTAGCTCAACGAAGTGGTTTATCGTGTGGAAATATATAGCAGCCAAATACTCTAAACGCACGTTTCTGAATGTGGAGGGGAAAACGGGAGGACACGGAGAAACGTCTACGCGCCCACGGGGAGAACATGCAAACTCCAAAAATACAGGCGTCAGGGTCGGGAAAAGGATCGAACCCACGACCTCCTGTATACCAGGCAAGGGAGTCAACATCTCGCCACCATGCCACCTCTTACCAGGATAAAAAGATGAAGCATGGAAATGTCAATGTACAAAGATTAAAAATGTTAATTTCCATCAGAATTCTTTTGCGAAAATGTCCCGATCCTTCAAACATCAATGATGGGCCCAAATCACCAAGGTGATGTGTTTCAGTCATTTTATCAAGATGTGGCCCCACATTGGCTTGTATATAACTGCAGAATACTGGCACATACAGAGGTGGCAGATGGAACCACGGTGGTGACGTAACAAGATACGAAGCTTGAGATGCTTTGCAGGAGTCCCTTGTTCCTACCCCATACCGCATGTGCAGCTCTTTTAGTCAATCCACTGGCAGATGAGGAGGTCGATTTACCGCAGTTTACCACACTGCTCAGTGCGGGGTTGGTAAAGTAGTGGGGGGGGGGGGCACACAGGAATCGGTGCAGATACCAGTAATCGATGATCTAAGCCATGTCAGGGAATCAAACGCAAGTTTCTGGGTTGATAGTGCAATTTGTTAACCATTACACGTACAGTTTGTAAAGCTTAAACAATTACCGTACTCACTGCTGTTGTACAAGAGTTCCGCTGATGCGTTTTTTTTAAAACACACAACACTAATGTCTGAAAATGTCTTTGAAACATCATTTACAGCTAAATGTGAAACACTTTAAGAGTCCCCACTCAAATAGTTTTAGATTATCTTCAGAAAAAAATAAACAAGTTGAGTGTAATTGCAACATCGCTTACAGCGTTGCATTTCTTGAACGCGTCACATTTTAATTGGGGTGCAGGCCGTGTCATGTTCAGGATACATTGGGCAAAACCACAGCATTAAGGTTGTACGTTGGGGGGGAGGGGAAAGACTGAATCGAGGCAATAGAATTGGCATGTTTGTTTATCTCTTTGCTAACGATGAGCATACCTACCTGCCCACGGCATGGAAATGTAAATAAATAAAACACATCAACCCATCTTCTTACCGTTCCCTAAACACATCGATGCATTTGGAATTGCTGTAAATTCAAGTTGTTTTTTTTGGGGGGGTGGGGGGTCGCATGCAGCAATTTTGCTGCTGGGTAGACTGTCATACCCATGCATCTTTGACAATCAGGTGAACAATGGCTGTGTTTGATTGCGTTTGAACTATCCAATATCATTTTAGCGCAGGGATGCCATTAACAACAAGGATAAGCCACCAGGAAAATGGATATAATGCGTGGCATCCAATTTCTACATATTTTGGCAATCTGTAGCCTCAGGTCTCCTGCAAGTGGCAGGGTAGTTTACGAAGCCTTGTTAATTTTGAGTTTCATTTAAGCAATATCCTACCACAGCATTGCCATCTTCTGGCGTTTTATAATTTTATATTACCCAATTTGCAGCAGCTACACATGAGCAATCACTCTTGACAATTATATCATGAGACTAAATAGGTTATTTAGCTTGTTGCCATATCACCGGGGTCAAGAGAACAAGTCAAAACATGCCACAGTCGTGACTAACACAGTTCTTACCAGATTGAAATGGATAACATGCAACATTGTTACCTTGCTTTAATTAAATTTAACACTCGGAGAACTGTTCGTGGAAAAAAGGTTAATATGTAAGCGGAGCTGAGGCAGGAATGTTAATTGTGCATTTGCACATTTTATAAAGTGTAGTGTATAATTACAATGCAAAATACCCACTGTAAATTATTCAGTTACCAACCGCTGTTAATCGCACACTCACACAAAGGGCTCCGTTCTCGTTATACACCTATACACATAGCCCGTGACATTTGTAAAAAAAATACCAAATTCAAATAAGACCCATTTTTACGTTATTGCGGTGTTTGGCGAGGAGTAATTTCTCTCGGCAAGATTAAATTTCACCCAGGACACGTACTTTTTTTGCACTAATTTCGGATTGGTTCGACAGCACTTGGTGAAGGCAAGCATGCCAACATAGAAAGGCGTTATATGAAACCTCATCATGGGACAGTGGTTTACATTTTTTTTTGTTCTCTTTGAAACAGTGCAATAGCCCTGCAGATGGGGCATTTCAAGAGACATATAGCTGGGACAACAAAGTAGCCAATCAGTGGCTGTCAGGAGGCACATCCCACGAGTTACACGTGATGTATTAGGCCGCTCGCTAATTGCTTTCTAGGCATGTACATTCTCGCCTCGCTCTCGTGGTCACCGCGTTAAGGGGCCGTCCATAAATGACGTCACGCACCTCGGGGAAGGGGGTCAGACATTTGTGATGATGTGTGACGAGGGGGGGGGGGTTGAGAAATGTGACGTCATAGCAAAATGCGCAACTTTAAATACATATAGACAACACGTCCTACTTAATTAAATAGACTTTTTAATAAATGGTTTCTCCTACAACATCAGAGTGCAGCGCCACATTAAATACGCACTACAATGACAATAGTTTAAAGCGATTTGAAGCATGTTTTATTTTCAAAATGGAAATATGGTTGGGGGGGGGGGGCAGAGCTTTGTGACGTCATATTTGAGGGGGGGTCTGACTTTTGTGACGCCGTGTGACGAGGGGGGGGGTCAAAATCGTCCAAAATCGCGTGACGTCATTTATGGACGGCCCCTAACATACACACTCCCAAGGTGAGCTCCCCACGTGTGCAACACGCGGTGAATGTAACATGCAACATAACTCATAATAAAGGTTTTTGGGTTAGATCGCGTCATTTATAAATGTGTCGTAACCCTCCACCACCCGACACGGCCATCAGCAAAAAAGTGTCACGTTGACAAAAGACAAATAGTTCACTACTTTAGCCCACCGGTGTGTTGAAGAGTGAATCCACAACATTTACACTTTGAATACGACGTTTCGCTGATAATTACATCCAGCATCATCGGGCAATTCGCCAAAATGGTAAAGCCCTCACTTGCTCTCGGTCTTAAATAGAGCAGCAGGGTGACGTCATCATTTAACTCATTTCAGGTGCAGTGATTTGAGGCAGAGGGGGGGTATTGTAATTATATAATCGATTGGTAATCAGTCAATGGTTATGATTAGTAATGAGTTGTAGATTAGTAATTAGTTGTAATGTGTGTTATTGTGATTATATGCTACATTAGTAATCCGTTAATTAATATGTGTTTCCCCTATAAGGAATTATAATATGTATTATTTAATAATACGCTTCCAAGCCACACTAAGCCTATAGCTATCAGAACGATTAAAGTTATTTCTGTTTCTCTCAATTTCAATGGATTCTCTAATTAGTCTTTGCTAGTAATAATTAGTTTTACACAACACTTCAACGTTATCAAAATCAATTGAGTGTCCTTGTTGACAAGCATGTTCTGCCACTGCCGACAGTTGTGTTTGAGATAATTTAATATTTCTTTGGTGTTCTTTTAGTCTTATGCTGATGTTACGTCCCGTCTGTCCAATATAGCATCTGCCACATAAACAATTAATCCGATATACACCTTCTGTTGATAATTTAGGTAATTCGTATTTAGTGCAAGATACTAGTTTTTGAATGTTGTGTACTGTACCAAATCCTACTGTAATGTTTTGCTTTTCCAAAACACGGGCTAATTTGTCAGTTACTCCTGAGATATATGGAATTTTAATTGTTTTAAGAATCTG